GTCAGTGTAACCCCCTCACTAGAATATAAAGAATAAATTTTTAAAAAGTAATTTGTAATAAGGTAATAGTACTTCAACATGTAAATGTTTGGACACAACTACCCTAGAAGACATGAAGGAATAGTTACTTGCACCATGAGTGCAACAACTACAAATGCAGACTGCTCTAGGTGGGTTATATTGACTTAGTAGTAGGGGTTTTCATAGTAGTGAACAGCTTTTAGTAGACTTGCAAACAAAACAANTCTATTTTCTCTATGCTCCCAGAGAAATCAAGGGAATCCATTGCCACTACATGTTTGGGTGAGTAATGTGGATACAGAGGAGCGTGGAAAGAACAACAACGTGTTTACATATGAAAATACTCAGTTGCAACATTCAATTCTATTTAGGAAAATCCTTCTCATAGTTTGGTCTCTCCTGTGACCCCACCTCTGTAACGATTTTCTCTCCACAGTTTCTAGCCACTTCACTCTAGCTCCCAGTCTCAGCATCATCTTATCCTCGAAAACAAATCTCAAATGTAGGAGTAGGAACCTAAAGAGCTTCAGCCTAACACTCTGGAACTTGGTTAAGTCCTACCCTGACTAAAGTCTTAGTTTTCATAGTCAGAGTGTTATCTTGTTCCACAGACCTATTCCCTGCATTTTGTACCCGTCAGGATAACTGGACTTGTCTCAGTGTAACATACGCAGACCATCCACCCCTGAGGCCCTTCTTTATTCTAGCCATTCTCTCTTTTTGTTTTTCTTAAAGACTGGAATCCCTCAAACGCCTACATTTTGCCTAGGACCTGCCAGATACTGGTAGATATAGTTAGTGTCACCTTAGCTGTTTTGTGCTCTGAATGTCCCTTCCTCCTATATTTCTTGTGTCTGTTGGCCTTTCGTGTTTCTTTGAGAAATGCCTACTCAGCTCCTTTACCCATTTTTTAATTGGGTTACTTGGTTTTTTGCTTTTAAGTTGTTTATGTTCCTTGCATATTCTAGATATCAATCCTTTGTCCAATGTATATTTTGCAAATATTTTCTTCCACTCTATCGGTTGTCTTTTGCTATGTTAATTCTTTCTTTTGCTGCACAGAATCCCTTTAGTTTGACATAATCACTATTGTTCATTTTTTCTTTGGTTGCCTGTGCTTTTCGCTGAAGCCCTTTAGTTTGACATTATCATATTTGTTTATTTTGCCTTTGGGTTCCTGTGCTTTGGGGTTTGTATTCATAAAGGTGAAGACATAATTTTACCTCATGTTGGACACACTCCCTTCCAGAAAAGCCTGCTCTTTGCCAGTTCCCATACCTTCTGGAAACCCTATTCTCCCCAGATCTGGGTTTTTGTGTGTGTCATCTATAACTGAGTTTTTTCTCACCACAAATTTGTGCCTTTTAGCAAACTGGAAGTAAAAACATCAATATAGCATTTG